CTCAAAGGGCGAAGTATAATACACCCTGAAACCTTATCTACATCTACATCTACAACTTTATAACTTTACAACTATTTTGTTTATGTTGTTTCCCTTGTCAGTTTTAATTTTTTTAAAGCAAATTTTCGCTTGGGCCACATACAAATTATGAAGATTAATTAATTTGGGCCTGCTAAGTATCTTACAAATTGAGGATTGCGTTAAATTTTCAAGTCCCAATTACTGTTATAAGTAAAAGACCTAATCAGATTGGGTAACGTCAGGGTTATAGCAGGGAGAGAGGCGTAGTCTTAAAACATCATTGCTTTTAAATAGGTTTAGAGCCAGTTTGTTTATGACAAAATGAACTCTTTTTTTTAAATTTTTTTGAAGCGATTTTTGGCTTGGGACAAATACAAATTATGATGATTTTTTATAAGCCGGCTAAGTTTTCTAAATATTTAGGGTTGTGTTGACTTTTAAAGACCCAATTCTTGGACAAAATGGACCATTAAAGCAACTTGAGGGATTATGTTCCCATTATACAGACTTTTGAACAGAAAAATAATAAATTACGATTTAATACCAGGGGAACCTCCCAGTGCACTTCTTCATTGAATTTTTATGACTTCTTTGTCATTTTTTCCAGTGGCGTCTCGTTATGTACAGGTGTGCTTCATACAGTCAATGGTCTATTCACAAATAGTATTAACAAAACAGAATAATAAGGATTCAGGTTTTATTAAAAATCTAATTATGTTTTCTAGAATTTGGACGTTTACAAGGGCATGTATTTTATCAGTTAGACCAGTTAACGATTTTTGAATAGGTGGGCGTTTTATGAATGATCGCCGAACGGACGTCAATAAGGCAAAAGATGAAAAATTGTATCTAGAACAAGATGTTTATTAACGAACGAAAATAAAATTGGATGTGATAGCGAGTTTCATAACCGCGGATCGAAAAGCGTAGCCCACTTTGCATTTAATTTACAAGGAAGCCAATTTAGTTGCCATTCGGGGATCGCTTTCATCTCCGCCGCCTATCAATTAAACCCTCGTTATTGATTTTTCATAATCGTTCCCCTTTTTGTTCGATACGGAGGTACGAGTCGTTTATAGGGAGTTCTTTTTTTGGAGAGAAACACTTGCATCTTTTATTGCATTATGCTCTAAAAAATTACAAAATCAATAATTCCGGTCCCAGTACTCAAATTTAAAGCTTTTTTTCATTGATTAAAATTATTTTACAATAGGTTGATTAGAATGCAGAAATCAAAATTTTTTTTTATCAGGGTTAAGAAAATAAAATGTAGGATTCATTACACAAAAATTCTCAAAAACTAAGACACTATCATTAAAGTACGATTTAATTTTTTCTTTAGTTAATTCGTTTTAAGCAACGTTTAAAGTCTTTAAATATGAATTTTTATAGCAAATAAATGGTATATCTCCATTTTGCAGTGTGAATGTATTTATTAGCGTGGGTGATGTCTGGGTGTGGCTGTGACTGAATATCGGGTAGCTCGCAGGCCCGCCAAATTAGTTTGGGTAATTATATATTTGTAGTGTGATGTGAGGGACAGGTCACCGCTATCAAGGTTGTAGTAATACTACCGAGATGCTGCGACCTCTCCAATATGAATGTATTTATTAGCGTGAATGTTTTGTGTAAATGGACGTGGATGTCGAGGAATATCGAGTACTCCACAAGCCCGTCAAAAGGAAATTAGTCTAATGGACGAATGAAATTCTGTACATATGGTATGAATGTATTTATTAGCGCGAATGGAAGGAAGTCGGTAGGATTATGACTATCCTATCGACTTTTTATGTAGTTGTAGGGGCAGGACCACTCTGAGCCATGCCAACTGTAGATTAGGTAATCATTTTCTTAGTATGAGTGGGTATTGTTAGTGAGTCTGTAAATATTGAAGTACTTTTAACAAACCACATGTGGGATGGTAGGAACGAGCAACAAGACACTCCTCTGTTTGGTCGGTAGGAAACAAAATTAAAAGAAGATATGTAGTGAATGAGATAGAGATAAAGTTGAAATGAAACAAAGAAAAATGCGAGAAGCTTATATACCGTGAGGTGCCGGCAATGACCCTAGTAGTTAGCCGGCCAAAAGAAAAAGAAAAAACAAGAAAAATATACATTTTTGGGCTTGATTCGCTAGTAGCAATTTTCTTTTTAACGCCGATGTCCCACGTTTTACTTTAATATTCATATCTCCCCTGGAGTTTATCCAAATTCAACGTTATTACAACTGTTAAAAAGCTTAATTTATCTTCTTTCAGCCTTTACTGGCAAGATTTTGATTTTATGCTAATATACTTGAGAAAGATATGGATTAAATAAACAAAACTGCCAATACGTTTTATATGTCCGGTTCTGATTTATTTATGTATTGATGATGTCACATTGGTGCCATTTTTTAAAATTTAAGTAAATAAAGGCATTCAAACCCTTGGGTCCTATTCTGCCTTGATATTGGTACCAACGGTACACAGTACACACCTAATGGTAAACCCGAGACAGGTGGAAACCACGGAACAGATCAGACATTTTTTCCTTTTTTACTTACTAGACCTTCCAAGGGATATACATTGTGCCAGCATCTCCACATCCCTCACAGGTCAAAGGCTTCAATTTTGCCCTTGTAAGGCCCTCCGAAGCACTTCCACCCTCAATGGCCAAGCATCCTGCCCGTTAATCCCAAAGCCCCCATGCGCGTACCATTGGTTAATTAAATTTCACAGAATTAAAATTTATTGTTGTAGAAAGTTTTACTTAGAATATAGATAATATTAAGTTATATTTTTGAAATTATGCTGGAATCCTTTAGAAAATTGAACAGATTAGAGATGTTATCATCATTAAGATTGCTATAGATATCGTTATCCAGCTTATGTTTGTCTCTTAATTGTTCATATTCTACGCTGAGAAACAAAACAGTAACGTTGAGAGTTGAGCGCAGGCCAAGTAGACGATCTGTAGGTGCTTCATCCAGTTCCTTTGTGCTCCTCTTGCCATGAGCACAGCTTTTAGGATTCGGTGGAACTGTTCGACCTTGTCCGTTTGCCTGCAGGTGGTACGGTCTATGGTGTGCGTTCTACCCCGAGTAGTGCTGAGAGCTGTTGGAAGAGATGAGGTGTTCAGAAACTTGAGACCCAATGATCACAAAAGCTCTGGCATAGTTCTAGCGGTGGTCTCTGCTTGGGTGTCTAGAATTGGTATTGACTCTGGCCATCGGCTCTACCATTGTGAGGCAATATTACATTCCCTTAGGGGGCGGAAGAGGTCCGACTATATCGATGCAGATATATTCGAACCATGAGGCATGTGGGAATGATCCCTAAAGTGAGATCGTGTGTTGGGAGACTGCTTTTTGGTAGAGAGCACAGATTTTGCCCATCAGCCAATGTTTGAGTTTATGCCAGGCCAGAAGTAGCGTTGTGTAACCATCTTTCAGCTGCTCCTAATTCTGGGATGACTCGGGATGTGGACACATTCAAAAGCTGTTCTCCTGAAGGCTGGGGTAAGGTAGGATCGTGGGCTTGCTGAAGTTATTTCACATAGGATTGTCATAAGTGAACCCAGGAACTTGACCTTCTCCAACATGAACGATTCTCCAGAGGGCTTCCGCCTTCTTTGGCTTGCTTGAGGTCCTCCCATCTGGTAGTGGTTTCCAGCTAGTCCAAACGGGAAAGGGCGTCTGCTACTGGATTATCTGCTGATGTGTGCCCATCGTGCACTGCACTGTGCGGTGTAGCTCAGTAACATGTGCGGATTGGTGAGGCATCATTTACGGTGTTGATAAATGCGAAGATGAGAGGCTTGTGATCTGTGTGGACCGAGAAATGTCTTTGTTTATTTTGCCAACAATTTTTGTAGCCGTCTCAATTATTTTTATTATTTTTGTAATGATTTCTTAGTTTTACATAGGGGTTCATTTAGTTTTGTCCTAAGAGTCTGTTCATTCACTGGTACTTGGGTTGAATTGGCATAATTCACGTCAGTGCAAAGTAGGCTAAAATATATACTTTTTTCTTAGCAAACAACAAATTTGATATTCAACCTTTGGATACAACTTTTATATGTTTCTCAAATAGTTTGTCTTCAAAATGTTTCCGTCCAAATGGGGATAACTTTGAAACTAATACAGGAAATTTTACATGTAATGGCAAAACTTTGGCTCTACATACAAATGAAAATTTAAAATATAAAACCTAACATTTGAGGAAGAAAATAATTAAAGAAAAATGATACAAAAACCTAAAACGATAATCCCCACAAGCCAGAGGGTTTGAAGTAAACCTTGGGTAAGAACTTTGAAATGGAGCCCTAGTATGGTACATTTCCCAAATTTCAACTGCAAAAAACCCAATGATTACTGTGAGACAATGAATACTCATCCAACCTAAGCTGTGCACTAACACTAGAACTAGGACTACCACCTTGGGCATATATTTAAAGGATGGCAAATGAACCAGATTCTTTGAAATAGGGAATTAAAACCACACTTAGAAGAATCACATAAAATAATTCTAATCAAAATTATACTAACTACAATGAACGAAAAGCTCAAATTTGACATACAGTATGGAAAAAATAAGTGGTTATGAAAGAATAATTCTTCTAATTTGAAAAATAGATACTTTCAGACTGTTAGGCAACAATAAAGATAATAAAATCATATTGAATAAGCTCAAGTGCTAGTGGGAGAGTGCCTTAAAAATACTCTTTAATATTTGAGAAAACGCAATGTTGAATACCTTTGGGTACCAAGAAGAATAAACCACTTGAATAAATTATCAGATCTGAGATGTGTAACTATAACAATTATAGCCATCATACAACGACAAAAGTTTAACTTTTCCTCTAAAGGTAGGATTGAAATTGATCATGGGCCTCTGCTGCCATTGTCACAAAACAATTGTCTCCTGCATAAATAGTAACATTGTATTAATTTAATTTTATTTTTTAGGTAACACTGAAATTATTTTATGTTTTTAGGGAAGAATGCGGAATACCTTGGTGGAGAAGAGAAAACCCCAGCGCTTACTAGGATTTTCGCTTTTGATCAGAAAATTTTTAAAATATCCAAAGACGAAAAGTAGTAGAAATTAATTCCACTGCTTCATGTTCTACCTTTAATTGCATTGACTAATTTAAATTCTAGGTTTAATTTACAACGTTGTAAATAATTTTACTGGATAGGAATATATTGTAATATTATTTATTGCGCTTTGAGCGTCGTTTGCTTGTAACTATTTAAATAATTTTTTGTGTAAAAATAATACGCGGAATTGAAATGTGAAAAAGTTATATATATATAAATGTATAAAAATATGTAAAGATTTTATTTCGTAAGTACAAAATGTATGTATGAGTCAGATAAATTAAATTATTACTGATTTATATTACAATAAGTTCTGTTTTTTAATTATTATTTGTTTTAAATTACCTCTCTTTATTAATTGTTGGTCTATTATCATAGGTTTTTGCCTTTGTTGGTAGCTTTACCTGTAACTTTTAATGGAAGTAAGAAAAAGGCGTATTTAGTTGTCTTACATTTTCCAAAGGTATTTTAATTTTAACAAAATATTATCATTTTGTTAAATAATTAATTAATTTTGCATTAACAAAAACATAATATAAACTAAAAATACATGATTAAGTTTGAATTTACTCTAGACATCTCATCGTCTTGATCTGCCACTACTAGTGCAGCTAGGTGTGTTCAGCATTTGGCCCATTCAGTCTAAGTGGTTAAATAAATGAGGACAAGCAACCAGGATGATTAGAGATGGTCAAATGGCTCACAATTTGAATAATTATTTTAGAAAATTAAATTACATTTGAATTTAAATTGTCTTTTTTTCACTAGGCTTTATTTATTTTTATATTTTGTGGTATTGGCGACAAATTTTTCCTTTCTTTTAATATGCTGGGCCCATTTTGTCTTCATAGCTATGAAGTGGTAACCATTCAATTTACTATAATAATTAGCCATAATAATTGAAAAATGGCAAAAAGGAGGGAAAATTCAAAAAGTGTGGTTGAGATGAGAAGTTAGTGTTCAAGTGGATCGAGGTCACGATAGCTCAAGTGGTAGAGCAGCGGCGTATCTAGCTGAAGATCGTGGGTTCGAATCCCACTCGTGATACTGACTTTTTTATCTCAACTAAAAACCTTAATTAATTGTAAGATATTAATCGGTCATGCGGACCACGAAACTAATGAATATAATGATTAGCATAAATGTTGGCAGTTAGTTATCTTGTTGATTACCAGCTCATTTCTGATTTATGAGGTCAAGTTGTCTGAAAGTTTGTACGTTGAAAAGATTCACTTTTTTTTCATCACTAATTATTCAGAAATCGTGAGATGCGGTCTGGTGTGATGTACTCTCAACACGACCTGCAAGAATGGCACAATTACACAGAAGACAACACTTTGAGCCCTGACGATGATCTCAATAAAGATCGAAACGTTGGCACGATAAAGAAAATGTTTTTCTGAAACCTACATCACACCAGACCACATCTCACGATTTCCGAATAATTATCGATTAACGGTTGCTAATCCCCACACATTTTTTCATCACCCTGTTCTGCATTCTGAGCAAATAAGGATTTTTCTTCATATTGCTCATCTATCAGAGATATGAGAATGGTATTTGTCATATATACTGTACTTGTGATGGTGTTTTCCTTTCATCTATTTCTATCAGTTACTTTTTATTATTGGGTTGTCCGGAAAATAATGCAGGATTTTAAGTTTTCATTAAAAAAAATCTATATAAAATATTCTGTTTACGTTTACAGGATTACTCATTTGTATGAATGTCAACACTTATTAATCCTCTTCCAAATGATATTGTTTGTTTACCTCTGTAGCATTCCGCTACTTGGAAATAATTCAGTCATCCTTATAATGTCAAAGCGAGAATTTCGTACGATTTTCTTTTACGAGTTTAAACTCGGCCGAAGCGGAGCCCAAACGGCTAGAAACATTAACCAAGTCTGGGGCGAGGGTTGTGTTAATGAGTGCACTGTGCAAAGGTGGTTTAAAAAATTTCGGGAGGGAGATTTCAGCCTTGAAGATGAAGAAGGTCGTGGAAGGCCTTCCTCTCTTAATGATGATGTTCTGCGATCAGTGGTGGGTGCAGAGCAACTCAAAGTCAGTAAAACGACCGTCGCTGACCACCTCAAGGCGATTGGAAAAGTGAAAAAACTCGAAAATTGGGTTCCACACTCATTAAACGATCGCCAAAAAAATCAGCGCTTTGATGTTTGTGCATCACTTCTTTGTCGAAACAAAAATGACCCATTTCTGGCCAGAATTGTTACATGTGACGAAAAGTGGATTCTCTACGATAACACTAGACGTTCTGGACAGTGGCTCGACAAAGGAGAAGCTCCAATACATTTTCCAAAGCCCCCAACTCATCAAAAAAAGGTAATGGTTACGGTATGGTGGGCTTCATTTGGTTTAATACACTACAGCTTCTTAAATCCTGGCGAAACCATCAATGCTGAATCATACTGTAACCAAATTAATACCATGCATCAGAAATTGGCAGTAATGAAGCCCTCTTTGGTCAATCGGAAAGGGCCCATTTTGTTGCATGACAACGCTCGACCACATGTGTCACGTGTAACGTCACAAAAATTATTGGAGCTTGGCTATGAAACTTTGCCTCACCCACCCTACTCTCCGGACCTCTCGCCTACTGACTACCATTTTTTTAGACACCTGGACCACTACTTAGAACACATAATATTCAAAAATCAAACGGAACTGGAAAATGCATTTATTGACTTTATCAATTCTAAAAATTCTGAATTCTACTCAGACGGAATTAATAAGTTACCAACACGTTGGGAGAAATGTATTGAGAGTATGGGAAATTATTTTGATTAAAGAACATTGCTTTAAAGTAACTAGTTTCTTTTTTTTTGTTTAATACCAAAATCCTGCATTATTTTCCGGACAACCCAATATTTTCGTTCCCACAATAGAAGAAAAATGTTTCAAATTATTGGGTACAACAGAGTATAGATACCATATTGTTTTGTTGATTGAAATTCAAGATTATTTCAACAATGATCAACTTAACTTCATGGGTTTTTCAATGTTTGATCATGCAGGTTATTGCATTATTGTCTCTGACCCCCTCGTACATATTTTACAAATATATAGAATACGCAATGTACCAACCAATAATAGACCAACCACTGAAAAAAATCAATTTAGACCATAGCAAATAAAAATAGAAAGACTGGAGGGGGGGGATCAGGGGCAGTCAAGGTACATAATTAGATACATACACCTTTTGATACTATGTATTTGTCAAAATGTTACTTAATAGATTTGCAACCCTATTTTTAGGTACAATTTAGTTTTCATTTTTTGTGCTGAATTTTAGCGCTCAAGAGCTTTACAAAAAAGGCTGGGAAAATAAACAAAACTGTTAATAAATAATTTTCAAGCATTGCTTCAATTAATCATGTTCAATATTAGGTTAGGTAGATGCATGTTTAAAAATACATGTCTAAGAAAAGGCGTAAATACTGATAGATCTTTTATGCCTGGAGAGCTTAATCATCAAAGATGGAAAACATCTTTGCAATTTATTGAATTGCACCAAAAGGGAGTAGGAAATTTCTTATCAACTAAAAGAAAGAACAGTTTACCAATCTTTATGGTGTTCTGCTAAAATTCTGCTCAATTTATATTTAAAAACACATTTTCTTACAGTGAAAATGTAATTTAGTTATATTTTAGGATACTGTGTAACTAGTTCTCATTATGAAAAACTGTTGGAAGGAAATTGTACTTTTTTTCATAAACTTTTAAGAAACACTCGTAGAAATAATGTTCAAACCACAGCCGTAGTTTAGGCAAAAAGGGCTGAAGTTACCAGTTTAAGTTAATACTGTTTTCTATTTTGCCCATTTCCCAATCAAACTTTTAATTTGACAATGTTGTCGCAAAATAATTTTTCTTTGGATAGATATCTTCATTTAATCATACTTAGCCTCTGTTTCATATTACCTAAATTCTCAGTTATTCACTGTAAACCCCTTCATTGATGATATAAGACAAACTGTAGCAAAAATATCCATGATCACCTCAGTCACCTCAAGTTTGATATCGCAAACGGAGAAAGCACTCAGGTAAATTTTATCTTTTGGCGGTATTATACAAACTTATCCAAAATACTCTAAAAAGATAGTATGTGTCCAATAATCCAGTACAGAACTTATGAATAAAAAATAAAGAAAATCTTGTCATACTACCTACCTATTAGGTGTCGCGGATGAGAGGCCAAACCACTTTACAATACTTTTTTCACACATTCAATTAAAAAGCCATGAGCTATGCCAGGATTTGAACCCAGAACCTCTAGTATCGGAAATATGAGTCAGACACCCTAACCACCGTCGACCCCGATCATACGATTGTTTATAGTTTGATCCAATCATCCTGGGTCTGCCTATTTTCCTGGATTTGTCTGTCAGACTCATTTCGACTTTTCATATTTTATCCACCACATACATGACAATCAAGCAATATGTTCATCATCTTATAGTTCTCACAACTTCCCCAGGAAAAAAAATTGAGTATTTTCTCAGACTTCTGAATTCTTTTTAATTGATACGTACTGATTCAGATAAATAATTAAACTTAATAGTGAAGTATTCTGTACCATGTTTGAAAATGATAGGAAGAAATAGTGCTGAGTGTCAAGGGGGTTAAAAACAAAATAATGTAAGTATTTTTTAATTTTTTTTGTTTGTTTTCAACACAAAACACACAGACTAAATAAATGTCATGGTTTTGATACTGGAACTGAAATGTCTTGCTAACATTATCTTCCATCACAGCCATAACATTATTCTTCCTTTCTTCACAAATTGTTTTAACATTCTTATATTAAACTTGGAGAATGGTGTTAAAGGCTCCTACCAAAAACGTTTAAAACAAATTTGCAATTGTATTAATACATTAGTGGAATCAAGTCATATATCAATATTTAATAATAAAATAAGCAGTCTAATAATGATTCATTAAAATTTTTTTGAAAAAAAAAAAAATCCAAATATACTAAAGCAATGAATATTAAAAAAATATTTAGTCTTATTTTAACTTATTTTATTATTTACAATTCTCACTTATTCTTTCATGGACTAAACCATTTCTTCATAATAACACCTCTTGGTTAGTTTAGTAATAACCATAAAAAATACTTTTGTACAAAGTTTACAAATTTTTGTTGTTGTTAAAACCATTTTGAGCAGATTTGTTTATGTCGAAATCAACTTATTTGTTTGATAACATTTTTTTAACCATGACACAACATAAAGTTATTTTAAATCAATCTTTCCATTATTTAAAATATTTTTATTATTTCCTTTTGAAGTACGTCTCATGCTATGCAAAAAGTCAAGGAAGTACTGTCATTTATGTTTAAATCTCAACTAACTTGTGAGTTTTTCAAAGCCGTACTTGCTAAATTTACAATGGAAGAATTGGACGCTGAGATTTGAATTTAGTAAATTTCCCCTGTTTATTTTATTTTTAGAGAAAACTTTAATTGATATTCTTCCTAGTATTTTTTAAAATCTTATTTCCTAAATTAATATTTAATAATTAAATACAAGCTAGTGTAAACTAAGTCGAAAAATAAATTAATCTGAGATAATGTATATTATTATTTTTTGATAAAAAATAAACAAATCTGGTAAAGTTTCCACAACCTGATAACTCACTCTCACAACAAAAATATTTAACAACCTTTTTTCTTATTGAAAATAAAAATAATTTAAAAAAATAACAAAATATGTTGAGTTATGTACAGAAATAATCATTTTAGAACCTATAATAAATTATAAATAAACATATTTTTAATCAATTAAAGAGCTAGAAAGCTTTATATTTTTGTGTGCTATTATAGCTTAAAATTAACCTAACATCTATACAATCAGTTCAAGCATATTTTATATACTTATTGTTAATAATAAATTCCATAAAAATAAACATTGTGCTCTTTTTTTGAAATTTGAAAGATGTTCATTTTTGGTGCTTATATAAAAAAAAAACAACAAAAAACGCACATGTGCTGAAACATCATTAAAACGGAATGTTTGCCGTGCTGATATGTGCATACACTAACAATAAAAAAAAGTGTTACAATAAAAAAAAACATTTCCTTATTTACATCATTTGATTCTCAAATGGGTATTAGGAACATCATCACGAACATCGGGTTTTAAACCTTGGCAATATTTCTGAGGGTAAGCAGAATGTATAAATTCTAAGAAAATTATTCTAATATGATGTCGATTGAGATGAGGTTAATGAAGTTATACTCATGCCTAAAGAACAAATGTCATCTGATTCTGAATTGAATGAGACTTCCAGTTCTTCAGCATTAGCCAATGGCGCTAATCTTCTGTCTTCCTCTTTGATCTCTTTATACCTGAAATGAAATCAATGTGAATTTATCATTTAAAATTGAATCTAATGCAAAACTAGAAACTATTTGTTTTAAATTGAAATTTTTAAGTGTGTGCGTTTTTTTAAAATATTTTTATTTTTAAAACGTGTTTTAATTGTAGCAAAGTATTAACCTTGCAATAATTATTCAGTGAATAATGTATATCTTACCTTCTAAACTTCTTCGTTGTGACTCAAAGGCCTTAGTACGATCCTTGGATCTGATTCAAGCATTCTTTCGTTTTCCTCGTTCCTGAATTCATACATAACACATGCATGCCTTTTTTAGAATCACTCAAGAAAACAAGCTATTAAAATATTTTTTTAAAAATGTGTTAACTTTGATTTTTGCTTGCAAAGTAAAACAGTTAAAGTTATGTTATTTAAAAAAAAAAATAAATAAATAAATAAAATAAAATAAATAAGATCGAAAGTTAAGATGTGCAACAAGCCTTAGTAATTTCAAATTCAAAATTATTACTGGCGATATTAAACCACTTCAAATAATTCAAAGTTATATGTTTTTAATATGAATTAAAGGTACTTAGTTATTTTATTTGTATTCAACAAGGTCAAGATTTAGTTTAAAAAAGGAAATCTATTTATAAAATTGACATAAAAAGATCAAAATGTAAAATCGAGTCCTTAAAAGGTTTGCTATAAATATGCTATAAAAGGAACAGTTTCATTGGAGATGTGCCAGTATGAATCATTAATAAGTTTATAGAAAGTGTGATGAGTATAATAATAGTAAAGAACAATTACTGACCCCTCTTTGTTTTCGGTCGTTGCCATTAACTTGCTCGTCTCCTCGTGCTCAATTCCAGATGGTGGTTGGTATGCGATCTCCGACACTGGTCCATACTGAGCCGCGACCAACAAATCCGTTGATGGGTTCATTGTATGAATCTAAACGCAGCACAAACATCACGCACGAAAAAAAAAAAAAATAAAAAAATAAAATAATAAAATAAAATTAAAAATAATAATAAAAAAAGGAAAAACAAAATAATTGAACTGACAAAAAGTGGAAAAATATAGATAATTAAAGGTAAATTTATTTCTAAAACTGTGCATACATGAAAAAAGCAAATCTAGGGTTAAAAAAAATCACAGGAGTAAAATTATAAACGACCAGCTTAATTAATAAATAAATTGCGTGATGCTGTGCAACATTTTTTGATAATTCATTGTGAAATAGTGACTTTTTATACATATATTTTTTTAAATTAATAATTTACCTGTAAAATTATCTTAATACAAAAATTTCTCAAATCATTCAGAACCATGATTTAAATTTGAGTAAATTATTACATTAAAATTTTAGCGAAACATTTCCTAAGCATACCTAACAGTCTTGATTATACCATTAATATTTATGAAATGGAGATTGACTAGTAACTGAATATTTCTTTTAATCATTAATAGTTTGGTTTACTTTACGAAACTGTGCTTAATTCGTCCCATTGGAATATCCTTAATGTATCATAAGAATTTATTTCAAAGTTAAAATATGTTGTTTTTATTATAATTATTGTCAAATATTGCTATAGATAACTGCAAATAGATCAATATTTTTTTATAACAAATTTAATATTGTATAAAATAATAAGATAAAGGAAGAAAAACTGATAAACTAAGCACAGCTTGTCAATATTGTCATACAATGTCAAAAAAACAAAACACAACCCACCTGCCCGTTTCCTCCTTGGTCAAGGTGCATTGCCATCCTTTCTTCTTTAGACGGATAACATGGACACTCTTTTCTTCTCATCATCATCCTTGTATATATAACAAGGAGAATGACTCCAATTAAAATCATCACCGAGCCGACTATGGAGAGACCCAATCTGCTGCTCGAGTTCTCCCTCTCTTTGACAAAACCATTTGCGTCTTCCATTTGGTTCTGTAAATTGTCAGAAAAGGCGACGTTCCCTTCAATGACTATTATAAGCCCTGCACCTAAAGAGAAGAGCGCAAGCGCCAGGAGGAACCAAAGTATGCAACGTGGACTCCTGAGTCTTGTCGGTACGGTCTGTGACAAATAACTTCCAGGCCGTGACCATTCATTTTGCTGCTCGTAACTCACGGTCGTCGGCTGATATACAGGGCCACTTGCAGGCATCTAAAATTATATTAACAAATTGTTTTCACTGCATTGTTCAACAACAAAATTCAAATAAATAATTAAAATATAGTTTTTAACGTATTTATTATTATACACAAAAGTAAAGTAAAGGGAGTTTCATTCTTTTATTAAGAACGGTTTTTAACTGTAACTCCTTTCAATAAAGAAAATAAAAGATGAATCTGTGACAGTTTTGTTTCACATACTTACAATGTAGATATAAACAATGTTGCTTAGCAGTATAAATTTTTGTAAAAGAAGACCAGCATTTTTCATAAATAACAGAAAAGCTAGTATTTCTACACAATTACTTTTATGAAAACACAGCTGCAGTTGAAAAGGGCTTTCACCAAGAGGGGAAAACGCTATTGTATAATCACATTTACACAATGTAAACATTTATTTTTATATGGCAGTGTCTTTGTCTTTTTCACACAATAGGTTCTATTTACTTTTGTTAATTAACAGTTTGGGGATGGTTAGGGATGGCAACCCGAAGCGAGTACAATAATTAACAGTTATTTGTCATTTGTCTAATTCAAGCAAGAGATTCAATAAAGAGCAAAAGGTTTAATTTTCTTTGTGATAAATATTCTGAAATATGACCACAGATTCATGAAATATTAAACTTTTTGATTTTAATGTTGTTATATACGTTTAAATATATTAAATTCCTATAAGAACGTAGACAGAGAACAATTTTTTCTTCTTCAAATTTTTACCTATTTTTATGTGCGTTCAATTGTGAATAAAAGCAAAGACAATATGTTGAGATGTTGAATTAATATATTTTTTTTTAAAAACAAACAAAAAACTAAGTGTATAGTTTAACATTCTTTTAAAATAAAATGAAATTTAGTCCTAACATGAAAAAATTACATTTTATACATTTTCACAACTTTGAATATGATGATAATTATAAGTACAAAAATTGCTTCCCGAGAAACATAATTGAAACAGAACTATTGATCTTTGATTTAAACTCAAAATTGGTAATCATGAATCCACCCTGAGACGTAGACATGTTTTGGTTTGTAAGAAGTCTTTAATGTTGCACTAAGTGATCAACGTACTGTAATAAAGACATGACAGGTTTATTGAACCTGCGATATTTCATTTGCTATTTAAGTTTTATCAAACTGGGTGAGGTGTAAACAACAAGTTATGAGTAGCGCCCAAAACATGTTATCTTTCAAATCCCCATAATTAAGATTTCAATTAAAAAAACCAACAAAACCAATATATGAAATATACGCATATAACAAAACTTAAAGTAAAAACGCACACACATTTTCACAGTATTTTGTTTTATTCTATTTTTCAACTTACTACTACCAACTAATTTTCCACAATTATATAAATGATTTTCTTTCAGCAACTATTGTTCATCGATTTCTGGATGTTCACATAAGCAATAAAAGCAAACGTATTATTTTCTGAGATATGAACAAATAAATTGAGTTTTACTACCTGTTTTTTTAAAGTGCCCTTCGGTATTTCTAGATGCTTACTTAATGTTAACAAAATATAATAACATTGAAATAAAAAAGTCTTTTGAAATTTGGTCATTAATGATCTGCCTATCCTCACTGGGTTGGTCTATGAGATGTGCTCCCAACACTGAAGTTGGCAAAAAGCCGAAACGCACAAAATGATTGGTAACAACCAAATTTCAGGTTCATCACTCCACAGACAACACGGAGAAATCCCACATTTTAACAAGCTTTTTTTCAAGCTTATATAAGTATATAAAGTAGCGATCAAAAGTAATGAGCTGCCGATCAATTAGTTCTTCAATTCACCAAAATAGTTTCTCTTGAATTTTGAATTCAACAAAGTTTAGTTGTTGTATGGTAAATGGTTGTTTTTCAATCTGGAATGATTATAAAGATAAAAACTAATATTTGGTTTGTTCACAAGTATGAAAGTGGTAAACAGTAGGGGGGGAATAACTAGATACTTTAATCACTACCATATTCAATGTAAAATAAATAATATTTGGATGGCTAACTGTCATGAAAACTTTTTTTTTAATGAGGGAATTTCCACTACGAGGTTGTGAGAACCCTCGAGGTGCTGGAGTTTTTGGGAGGAAAAAAATTGTGTGTCAGGTTCAAATGCAGAGCTGCTGGATTCGATCACTGGGCCTTTACCTTACCGATGTTGAGTGCCTGTCAATGCCTTAGCAATTGTGGTCACCGACACCCCACTAGGAAAACTTCTTTAAACAGAATATTGTACATTCAAACTATGTTAGTTTTATTAAAATAAAATAATGTAGGTTTTTATTATTATTTTGGTAATTTTTGAGGGACTTATTTTACTATGTGTGTATATCGTTGAATATTGAGATAATATATGGCTAAGATAAGAAGTTTTATTTCTTTACAAAAACAGTGTGCATGTAGTTTAAAAACACTTCACAAATAATCATTATTACAAACAATTTACGAAACAGAAATATAATAAAATTATCAAAACGCTGACACAACTTTTTGAGATGACTAAAAAGGCACATTGCATTTAATAGTAAATGTAAATGTTTTCCTTCTCGACCTAACAGTCTGCCCTGCTAAGGGTGGAAGGTGATCATGCTTCAGATTGCTTCAGATTAGAAATAAACATGAGCAATTATCCAGTGTCGACATATACACCTCGTCACATCAGAAATGTCAAAAATATTCATGGAAATTGAGACAAGTTCTATAATTGAAGTAGTTTTCACTTTGATGACAAAATCTGACTAAACATTCTTTCTGGCTACGTAAAAAAATTTGTTTTTTAGGATTGTGATTTTAAAGTTTAGACTGATACAAATTCAAATTTGTAGTAACATTTTATGTTAATGTGCTTATAGATATATCAAAATATAAATCAAAGGGTACGTGTAGGTAGGTACATACTGTATTAATTATGATATTTTCCTAACATCCATTAGCTACTTTGGTTCGAATTCTTTTATCTTTTTTCTGAATACATTCTTGCTTTTGGTTCTAAACGATCAGAAGAAATATAACCCAATTAACAACTCTGCACCACTGAGGCAAAACTCGGTAAGCTGAATTTTGGCCAATTTTAGATAAATACATATTTCAGTAAGAAAAGTCTGACATACTGTGTTTATGGTTTAAGTCAAGGAGGAAATCATTTCCTTTTAAACATAATGTGCTTGTTTAGACATCTCGATAATTCTATTTGAAAACTTGAATAACTCATAAACCCATTTACTAGAACAACTAAATTTGTACCAAGGCCTACACTTTAAAATCGCAAACCTGCAAAAATTTTTGAGGGTGCAACAGAACTTCATGGGTTTTGCAATGTTTTATCATGTTATATCCATTTAATTAATGCCTCTGATGCTTTACAAACTTATACAATACACAATTGAAAAAATACCCTGACCGACTATTGAAGAAAGCCAAATCAGACCAATAAAAAAATCAAGATTTAAAAAAAACTACTAGGCCAACTACATTGATTTTGATACAACAAAAAGTAAATTTGTACCAAAAGTCTAAAACTTTAAAATTGCAATCACAAAAAGTTATGTTTTTGATCTCCAGCTCTGCCTCAAGGGTTCGTCAACTGAACTTGATGGGATTTTCAATGGTTAATCATACTTGTTATTTCCACTTAACTACATGTCTCTGACTGACTCAATATTTTACAAACTTATACAATACACAATTGAAAAACATAAATATAAAAATACATAATATAAAAATAACAAATTCAAAAACCTTCTATGCCAACTACTACAATTTTGATGAAATGTAAGCACAAAAAAAGCTACTACAAAAATTGAATTTGTACCGCAAGTATAAACTTAAACTGTTTTGACTTATCCACTTTTGCCCGAAAATACATCACCCGAACTTCAGTGTTTTTAAGTTTTTTTTAAAATGTTTAATCATCCATGTTATATCCAATTAATTACATGTCTTCTACGCCTTTTACATTTTACAAACTTATAAATACACAATTGAAAAATAAAATGACCATTGAACAGCCAAATCAGACCAAGCCAATAATAATATAGAAATGATGAATGGTGGAGTGAGTGCGATGTTCAGTCCTTCTAAAAAAGATAGTTCCTACTCACTCTGTTGTTTTCCAATGATCCGGATTTCTAGCTTTGAGCTCATCATCAGGTTGAAGGATTCTACAACCTAATGATGAGCTAAAAGCTCGAAATCCTGACATTGGAAAACAACTTACTGTGAGTAGGAACTATCTTTTGAAGAAGGATAAAATATGATAAAATAAATTAAAAACCTTTTTATTAGGACAACTATATAGATTTTGATGAAATGTGAACACAATTAAAAAAAGTTTCTACAAAAATTGGATATGTATCAAAGGTTTAAACTTTAAAATAGCAATCATGAAAAGTTGTGCTTTTTGACTTATACAGTTTTGCCCCGACGATGCTTCCGTTGAACTTCAATGTTTAATCATGCATGTAGTTTCTATTTAATTACAATTCTTTGATTGACTTCATATTTTACAAGCTTATATTTTACAATACACAATTGGAAAAAAAAAGAATACACAGACCAACCGTTGAAAGTCAAATCACACCACCTAAAAAATATAATAAAATAAAAACCTATTTACTGAGAAAACTACATAGATTGGACGAATTCATGAAGATTGGAGTGAAATAAAAAAAGTTACTGCAGCAATTAAATTTGTATCAAAGTTCTAAAACTTTTTTTTTTAAACAGGCATACAACCACTAGGGTTAAAGATGCCTAAATCATATTATATTTGGACATATATAAAATTATTTACACAAAAATAAAATTAAGTTTATCAATCCAGTCTCACGTAAGAATTCCATCGGCCTATCTGTCTCTTCAGCTTTAAAATCCCAATCATGAAAAAGTGTTTGACTTCCCGGTCGGCCCTGAGATTCACATTATTTTTTAATTTATTTCGCTTTAGAAAATTATTTGTGTGTATTATAATTTTGCATAAATTGTAACTAAGCAAAAATATTGTTTTTCTAGTGACTCACAGTGTGAAATAAGCGAAATACAAGAGGAAAATATAAATTATTCGAGTGGTTTAATTGTTGGCGACAATTTTTTGAGTAACGATTTTGCTTTAATTCAGTTAGGTCATGGTCAAAGAGAATAAAATCATAAAGATTTTATTTTGGTGATTATAAACGCGGTATGAAAAAAATATTGACATATGCTGTCATCAGGCTTCAAGGAGTACGTACAACGTACATAATAAGATAAGCAGGTATACACGGAGTCCAATCCGGACGGCACAGGTGTTTAACGATTTTTAAAACAGGACAGCAAATTCGAGCCGTTGAGCTTTAATTTTTTGTCTGAGTAAATAATACAATGTTAAAAAACTCACCTCGGTCTCTTTCGTGGATTTGTCAGTTACATATATGAAATAAAAAAAGTATTAAACTGAAAAAGGTATTAAGTACCACTGCCGAACGCGACTCCAGTCAAGCTCAATGCCAACTCGCCACAGCCTTCGTGCACGACGCGCTCCCCACCAACGCGATAAAATAATCTAAGAAAAACGGCTAATAATCAGGCGAAAAGCGAAAACCTTTTTATCCGGCCAAAGTAGAGATTGGTTTAAAAAAAGAACATTTTTTTTGTTTTAAATGGGGAAAATTAGTCGTCTCGGCTACCCTAGTCGGGAGATTTTGATGTATGCGCAGATTGGGGCGGAACCGGTCCGGCCCCGCGCAATCAAACACACCAAACCTACGAATTTCACCTAAACAACGGTGCTCGTGTGAAATACGTGAAATTTCCAACCGGCGGCCGAGTGTCGTCAGCGGAGGGCACACGGCGACCAGCGTCGAGAGCAGCGAACGGATCCGATCCTGTCTCACGACACCGCGTCTGTTCAACTTTCAATTGACATCACCAGAAAATGATAATTGAATTTTATTGAATATAATATTATTGACAAAATTTATCCCGTTTTATTTATTAAAAAAAAATTATTAAGAAAAAATTAAATATTAAAAAAAAAAAAAATTAACTCCGTCACCTCAAGTGGAGTTAAAATGCGGAAGTTCCTGGAAAAACAGTTTCGTGCGCCTTTTGGTTATTCAATTATTTATGACTGATTTCAGCTAATTTTATTAGCAAATCTCTACCCAGAGGAAGCAGGTAAGAAATGGCTTAGCATTACAATAATATTTTTTTTTCTAATTAAAATCCTTAGAAGGATTAAAGTGATCCAAAATTACACCCATTCAATTTAAAACATAGAAACCACATACCAAAATTTAAAACAAAAATTAAGCTAAATAAAAGTTCAGACAAAACATACAGTACTCGATATATAAAACATTATTAATAATAAAGTAAACTCAATTAAAAAAATAATTAAATTGGGCAGATGAAAAAGATCGTAAGGGATGAAAAGACAATGAATTTTTATCCCAAACGTTTGGCAGTTATTCTTTAGTTTGAATTATAAATTTTGTTTTCCTTGGATTTATATTATATGGCTGCAAGAATTTAATTTATTAGTCATGGCTCTAGGATTTCATTATTTAAAAATTAAAATTCTATTTTTTAACATATTAAAATGATTAAAGTATGAAGTTAGTATGTAATTGTCTTTTTATCCCTTACGATTTTTTTTTCATTTACACTCTTTTTTTATACACTATATTTTGTCTATTATTTTTCAACTATCTTCCATTGGTTCAAATTTTATGTATGATTTCTTGGTTAATTATTTATATACATGCCTGGAACAAAATCTAAGCTAAATAAAACGAGACAAAACATACAGTGTTCTATGTAAAAGAAATTATTGATACTAAACACGATAAAAAAATTTTTAATTGTACAGATGAAAAATATTGTAAGGGATGAAAGGACAATTACACCTTAACCTCGTACTTAAATAACATGAATATGTTAAAAAGTAAAATTTTAATTTTTAAATAGTGTAATTAATATTTACATAGTGGAGCATTTATTAATAAAAACGTAAGAGAAAAGAACAAACCAAGAGAAAAGAAAATATATGATTCCAACTAAATAATAAATTTGCAAAACGTACAGACAGTAGCGCGTAATTAATTAGGCAAATACTCATGATTTATAAACATATACATTAATATCATATAAGTTAAAAGGCAATAAGTACAAAATTGCTTAGTAATAGATAATTATTTCACAAATAATTTATAATATTTCAATTATTTTATAAAAATAAATTCCGTTGAAATAGGAGGGCAATCATACAAAATTTAAATACTTGCAATTGTTTAATATAAATCCACGTACGATTAAAAAAACACGAAGTTATTCTTCATTTTGAATCATAGTTGTATGACTGTATGTATCGTGTGACTTCCTTTTATATTGTGCTATTGGAGTATTTGATTTTTTAATGCTTTCTCTACTATTTCAAAGAATAATTTTTCGTAAGATGCGTTCTGGTGTGATGTAGGTTTCAGAAATTTTGTTTATCGTGCCAACGTCGATCTTTATTGAGATCATCTTCAGGGCTCAAAAATAATAATAATAATTTTCTTTACAAGATTGTTAAATTGTACAACTATTGTAAACAACTATGATTCAAAATGAAGAATAGCCTCGTTAAAGTTAAATACATTCACTTTCTCACTCACATTCACAATAACTAAATTAGTTCCTAATATAAAAAATTCTTAACCAAAATACAAAAGCTATGTCATCAAAACAATCATATATTCATACATATAATGGTATAAAAAAAAACTGCAAACAGGAATAGTTGTTGAAAAACTATGACACGATATGACAAATAAGATCATTCGATACGCTTTTTAATTTTTTTCTGATTACAATATCTTTTCCTTTTCATACTGCCTCCGAATTTCTTCGGGATAATCCATCTCTTGGGTATAGGTGCGTGCACTCGTCGGCTTTTCTGGTTAACCAGGTCATTGGGGCAGATTTCCAAGCTGTCCCATTAGGTTCTTATCTTCTGTCGGATTATCAATATCTCTTTAATGCCATGACAAGGGTTTTCCTCCCATATTAAAACGAGCCGTTTGTAAAAATTGAATTGCCTCTAGCACACTGACGTTGCTTGTACAAAGAGGTTAAAGATTGATGAAAAATCTGTAAATAAAAAATTACGTATACTTTTGTACAAAAAAATATTCTTCTGTTAAACAAGGTGAGCTGTATATATCAGAATTTCTGGTCTAAAACCGTCTTGACGTTTATTCAGATATTCCTCACGTGCGCTGTAATTTGCCCTCATCATTCATGAGCTGATCGTTTGACTTTAGGAATACATTAAAGAAATGGGTTGTTTTTCGAAAGACTTGTGATTGTAATAACGTCTATGTGGGACTATGTGTGTGCATTTTACTATGTATCTTTCTATCTATTTATATAATTATTTTCCAAACCTATATCCATAATAATGTGATAATACAAAGGACAAAAACCATGCCTAATAAAAGTATTCAATAGTAAATACTATATAATTGACTATCTGATCTGATGAAAAAATTGAAAGTATTGACTCATTAAAATCCTAAACACTGAAATACATAAATTCTATAAATTATGTACAGATATATTCAACGAAAAAAAACACCTGACACTCGTATTTTGTTGTTTATTTAACGTTACTATTTCAACATACTTATCATTATCTTTATGGAATGAAAAAGTCAGTGTCACGAGCGGGATTCGAACCCACGACCTTCGGCCAAATTCGCCGTTGCTCTACCACTTGAGATATCCTGACTTCGATTCACTCAGAAACCAACTTCCTACCTTTCGAATTTTCCCTCCTTTTTGCCATTTTTCATTTCAACCAATACCTTACATAATGATTAATTAATTGAAAAGAATTTGGTCAATCGGACCACGAAATATAATGGATACTTATTATTTATTATCATGAGTTTTAATAAATATTATTTAATTATGGTATTTGAAGAAGAATTCACCAAAGCAGTAAAAATCATTTAGTGATAGATTAAAATTTAACTAACAATTTATTACCTAGTTTTGCTCTTAAAACAAGTATTGCCTCTTCTAGCCTCGTGGTGGGCCTTAAGTCTCTTAGGCATCGAGTAAATAGGACTAAAAAATGTAATATTTTGTTATCTTTTCGAAATATACTTTTATATATAAAAAAAGAACTTCGTTTTGTGAAACAGCATCCAATTCTTCAACAAGAGCGGTTTGCAGCTGTTCAACGCCTTTTGATGTTTAATTCGTCTCTTAATCACGTCCCATAAGTGTTCTTTAGGATCCATGTTAGGGAAGACATGCTGCCCCATTCATTGTGGTAATCCCCGTATCCCCCAATTAACGGGTTACAACTCGACCTACATGGAGGACCACGCATTAACACAAAATTGTCCACACAAAATGTACCATAGCTTCCAGCTGAACTTCTTAAATTCTTAGTGCAGTCAAATATACATTCCATAATCAGTTTGGTACGGGCATAGACGTAGGTTTCACCCCATAACATAACTGACTGTGGCACATGAAGCAAAGCGTTGTCTACGTCTTCTCCACACACGATCCAAACTCCAAGTCATCTGATTGCCAAAAACCAAATTGGCACTCATGTGTGAAGAGAACAGCCTCCATTGCTAAAATGTCCAAGCGACATGTCGATTGAATAGTCGCCGGATCTATTAATTAGGCACTTGATGCCTCTCCAGTAGTGGAAAATGTGATGCGGGATGTCTAGAGACTAGGTTATTCTCAATATGAGGTTATTCACGAAGTCTTTCAGACAGTTTTAGAGCTCACCCTTACATTACGGACCTTTTGAAGTTGACTACATATTAAGGAAGCCGTTAAAAGATGGTTCCGTTGAGCAGTAAGAGCAATAAAACGTTCGACTCTAGCCGTCATACATCGCGGTCTACCACTACCTTCTCTTCGATCGAGACTTCTGTTGGTTCTAAACCGCTGTAAATTATTATGGCTGGAAGACGCTAAGTCCGTCGTTGGCCCAAGCATCTACCCGGGCGAGATCTTCTCTACTTAAAACATCTTCTTTAAGAGAAAAATCAATAAATTTTTACTCAAATTTATTATTTCATCAAAGAAAACATTTTAAAGAACTCATTCGACAAGTTTGCTGTTAGGATTAGTAATACTCGTTAAAAGTTAACAACACGTTATCAACGTTCTGTTTACGTTTTAAGTCTATTTTTAGAGGCGTCGGTGGCCACAACGGTTTAGGCGTGGATACGGCGCTCAACATTGTAAGGCAAAGGTCTCGGGTTCGAATCCAGCGGCCCTGCAATTGAACCCGACATACTTACAAATGGGCTTTTTTTCAAAAACACCGGCCCCCGGAGGGTTTATATGACCTCTGCTGTTGCGAACCCTGGTAAAAAAAGGGAAAAAAATTCTATTTTTAATACCTAGTTATAATGGAGGATAAACAAATAAATACAAGTTTCCGGTTTTTTTGTCTTGAGTATATATACATATTATATAAATTTGCAGAGTTTTAAAGAAGTATTG